AAATGTAAAAGAGCATGTTATGCGTGTATAACTAACTATACATGCTTACGACCATATGGTGCTTGTTATATCCTTCGCTGTCGTCCATTCTTCTCTTGGTACGGCGTCTAACGTTCTTACGTCCGCTGCGCTTTATAATGTTAAGTCCTCTAGTTCTGGCGTTCTGGCCTACCACCGTGCTAGCCGAACGACTTTATCATACTGCAGTAGCGCACAAATGTCACATGTATGTCGTACTAGTATGTCGTACTAGCGTACTGGCGTACTAAGTTCTATTGTCAGCAACAGCATACTAGAGTACTATCGTTCCCTCTTTCTAATGTTCTTCCTTCCTAAGCGTTCTATCGCACTAGTGCACGCGAGCGTTATGTCGTACTAGCGTATCAGCGGACTAGTATATTAACCCTCTACCGTTCCAGGGTACTGAAGTACTAGCGTACTAGTGTACTGTCGTATTAGCATACCAGCGTGCTAGTGTACTAGCGTACCATGGCCAGTGTACTATTGTACCAGTGTACTATTGTACTAGCGTACTATACTAATGTACTATCGTACTAGTACACTATCGTACCAGTGTACTATCGTACTAGCGTACTAGCGTACCAGTGTACTATCGTACCAGTGTACTATCGTACCAGTGTACTATCGTACCAGTGTACTATTGTACAAGCGTACCAGCGTACTAGTATACCAGTGTACTAGCGTACCAGTGTACTAGCGTACTAGTGTACTATCGTACTAGTGTACTAGGTCTACTAGCGTACCAGTGTACTATCGTACCAGTGTACAATTGTACTAGCGTACTAACGTACCATCTTACTAGTGTAAGAATAAAAATGCCGATGGATTGATATTGTTATCTTGGCTGTATGTGATTAAAATGCCTGACTAATGGGGACAAATTGTGTGGAGAATATAAGGTAAACATATGCCCAGCCCCCAAGGGAAATTTTAGCACCAACTTAACAACTAAAATTGCATAGTAACAGAATTATATTCTTTTGAATTTGTAAGAATGTGATCAATGCGCCAGGCYTCCCCCGTAAGACATTGATAGGTGCATTATGAACATGGAACTAACCCAAGTGATGGTATCCAGCGATATAAATCGTACTCCATGTACGTGACGTTGCTTATTTCTACAAGGTCACTTTTTGTAGCACAAGGGTCAAAATGTCGCCCTTTTTCGTCAGTGTATCTTGTTATGCCATACTTGATATTGCAAGTACGGCATTCCAATGTCACCTTGGATGAAGGGACTGGTCCTTTTATACTGTAAACCACGGCCTTTGTGGGTGGATTGTAGGTTAACAAGGCACGACCGCATGACAGGCACTCTTTAACTGGTGGAGCTAAAAACCTATTGTATAAGTTCTCCTTCTCTCTGGAAAGATTCCACAAACTCTCATGGAATGTTTCGTCGTCAGACTGATACAGGAATGACGGACAATAACTTTCGAGAAATCGAACATATACTTCAAACTTATCGCATGTCATTTCTATGCCGTTCGACAATGAAATATTGTAAAGAAACTCTACTCGCAGCGATAAACCTTTGTTCTGMAAAAGCTTTGTGGTACGTGCCTCAATATCCTTCTAAAAAGAAGAACAGTTCTAAATGATATCTTTCCCGATATCAATAGCAGAGCATCATCCTCTGTGATCTCGATCTGCCTCGCCTGAATCTCATCTAAGTCGATATCCTTGACAGCTCTGATGACCAGTAACACTTTTTGCTCTAAAAAACACTGTTTCCAAGATTCTTCTCTGACACTATCAGGCATAAATTGAGAAGCTCTCACCTTCTTTCGCTTCGGCGCCATTTCAAGCAAGTACCCTTGTCGCTCTTACTGCGTATGAGTCTGCGCATGAGTCTGCTGTACGAAATTAGAAGCGAACGCTAGCCATTACGCTAGATCATTAGTATATTAGTATAGTACGCTAGTACGCTAGTACACTGGTACGCTAATACACTGGTACGCTAGTACACTAGTATGATAGCACACTGGTGCGCTAGTACGCTAGTACGATATTACACTAGTACACTAGTACGCTAGTACGCTAGTACGCTGGTACGCTAGTACGCTAGTACGCTAGTACGCTAGTACGCTGGTACGCTAGTACGCTAGTACACTGGTACGCTAGTACGCTAGTACACTGGTACGCTAGTACGTTAGTACACTGGTACGATAGTACACTGGTACGCTAGTACACTGGTACGCTAGTACGCTAGTACACTGGTACGCTAATACACTGGTACGCTAGTACGCTAGTACACTGGTACACTAATACACTGGTACGTAAGTACGCTAGTACACTGGTACGCTAATACACAGGTACGATAGTACACTGGTACGCTAGTACACTGGTACGCTAGTACACTGGTACGCTAGTACACTGGTACNCGGTGTACAAATCCGAAGGTCGTGGGTTCGAATCCCAGCGAGGTCGGAAATTAATTTTTCCGAATTTATTCCTAAGGGACTTCTCCCGGAATTGCCTCCTTCTAAGCACTATAACTTTCTTTCATTTCTATATCGTGTTTATCATAGTGCCATGCGGTCTTCATATTCATATCTTTACATTATTCTATTACCGCAACCTTAACATCTATTTCACCCCGACCTGCTCCCAGTCTGGCCTTGTAGCTCAGCTGGTAGAGCATCGGTGTACAAATCCGAAGGTCGTGGGTTCGAATCCCAGCGAGGTCGGAAATTAATTTTTCCGAATTTATTCCTAAGGGACTTCTCCCGGAATTGCCTCCTTCTAAGCACTATAACTTTCTTTCATTTCTATATCGTGTTTATCATAGTGCCATGCGGTCTTCATATTCATATCTTTACATTATTCTATTACCGCAACCTTAACATCTATTTCACCCCGACCTGCTCCCAGTCTGGCCTTGTAGCTCAGCTGGTAGAGCATCGGTGTACAAATCCGAAGGTCGTGGGTTCGAATCCCAGCGAGGTCGGAAATTAATTTTTCCGAATTTATTCCTAAGGGACTTCTCCCGGAATTGCCTCCTTCTAAGCACTATAACTTTCTTTCATTTCTATATCGTGTTTATCATAGTGCCATGCGGTCTTCATATTCATATATTCACACAAGAATCGTTTCCATTCATCATGATGGCATTACTACTTATAGGTTCAACTGCTTCGAAGCAACCAAGTTTCTGATATCTTCTGAAGCCGACCCTTCAATCAAGTCAACCGATGGCACCTCCCCATTACACTTTGCAGCACGACACGCTGTCAAAGAGATTTGTGAATTATTGCTAGATGACAATGTTTCAGACGTCAATGTCCCGGATAACAGCGGTGTTACGGCGTTCCATCTTGCATGTACCAGCGGTAATGTAGAGATCTGTGAGTTGTTTTTGGATAATGGAGCAGATGTGTTCATGGTTAACGCTGAAGGACGGAACTCGCTGCATATCGCTGCCTTATATGGTTACTCAGAGATTGTGAAGAAACTGATACAAACCGGTGAGTGTATGTTCTTTTCCAGTAATGATGTTATGCTGGTTTTGGCGCGAAGGCAAGGTTAATCGAGCGATGAAAATGTCAAAGTGTGCAAAACATCATCATCATCATCATCATCATCATCATCACCGGATCGACCGCGGTCGGACTTCAATGGCACAATCTCTCCAATGTCTTTTGTCGTTCATTGCTGTTGCCAGGTGATCCTTAACTGTCAGTTAGTGTATGTAGGTGTATGCTGGTCTGCCCTTTGGTCTTTTGCCATGGAGTGTTTCCCATAGAAGAACTTTATGAAAAGCTTCTTCTTTGCTCCTCCAGCACTGACCACTGAAACTTTATCCTCTGTTCTCTGATAACTTCAGGTATTTTCGGGGCACCACCATATGAATTCCTCGCGCAAAACAAAAATGCGAATTTTCCTTTCCGATGTTATCAATTGACTGATGCACAACACCCATATCGTTAGGTGAAATACCATTTTGTAGTAATGATTACTTTGACAGTGCGCAACCGACCAAGAAACTGAATGAAGCGACAAGTTCAACAAGAAAGCGTTGACATTGCTCCGCTGACACAGCGACGTTGATGAAGACAGAATAATTTGATATAAAAGACTTCTAACCAAGACTTCGTCTATACTGATAATGTTTCGTTGCATTCTTGAATTACTTTCCTCATTTAAGGGAATGAAAGATTCATAAAAATAATTTGAACTTGAAAACGCAGGCAAAAGAGCATTCTGTCGAAAACAGTTCAAGGTTCTCGGTGATTCACCTTTTCTTGTTTGGCAGAGAGAAAGTACATATTTCATTCCTATCCTTTTGCGACCAGATGTAAACTGAAACTTTTCTTTTGTTTTCAGCTGAAGAGCAGAATGCAGAAATTGCAAAATTCATCAACAGTTGTGATTCTGACAACAACACACCTTTGCACTTGGCTTGTAAAAAAGGACAAGTGCAAACTGTCAAAGTGTGCTTGCAGCATAACGCTGATTTGGAAGCCAGGAACGATATAGTGTCCAATACACCGCTGCACGATGCTGCACAGGCAGGACAGGTTGACATCGTGCAAATGCTCATTGATGCTGGGGGCTCAGTAACGTTGACAAATGCTCTGCACCGTTTACCCATACACTTGTAAGTATGGAACTATCCATGTAAGGTTGAAGAGAACGAACAAAAACAATAGTCTTCTTNCCAATCCTCATCAAAAAGATGTTTTTGGTAAGACCCCACTTCACATGGCTGCTGAAAATGGCAATATGGACTGCGTGAAAGCTTTAGCAGAAACGAGTCGTCTCCATATTGGAGATACAGATGATACAAATTGTACTCCACTTCAAGAAGCTGCTAAGAAGGGACATCGGTAAGGATTTTGACGTATTTTCAAAAAAGCAAAAAGCAATAGTATGTCACTTCGTTAAATATYATCCTTGTCCTGTACAGTAGAATCATGTACAATAATTCTTCAGCTTTAAAAAGAGGCAAAGAAAATAATAAGGTCATTATTAGCTCAATGAGACTGCGAAATGCTAATGTAATATATATTTGGTTTTCTTAGAAATGTTTGCAAGTATCTTCTCCGACTTGGTGCAGACGTAACTTCCAAAAACAGTAACCGCTGGACAGCGCTGCATCATGCCGCATATTCAGGTCACGTGAGAWCAGTAGAAGCTCTTCTCCAGGCCAAGACTGTGGGSTCAAGCCAGACAATCGACGAACAAAATAGCGAAGGCAATACTCCGGTTATCCTGGCTGCAAGCAAAGGGCATGTCGATGTGGTCCAGCTACTTATCAGTCGAGAYGCAGATATYACTATTCGTAATAAAAGAMAAATGACCTGCCTTGATGAAGCCKTGGAGCGCAATAAATTGACGGTTGTCATGGAAATTATTCAAAGCGACAGGTAGGTTTTCAAYTGCTTGTTCAAAGGCTATTGGTCTTACCGGGTTTCAAAAGAAATGGCTCGGGCATGGAGTTTGTTGGATAGTATAATTGTTCTTGTCATCAGGGTATTTTCAGGTGCACTTGATTTAATTACTCCCTCAATATAATGCAACACAGAATGGGGTAGTGATTGTGATCGTCAGTATGTCATTAATTTAAATTGAAGGATCTCTATGGCCCAAACATAAGAAACATCTGACTACTACCCAATACCATCCAACATTGATTGTAATCGACCCCCAAACATATTCTTTGATGCTCCTTCAACACCATAAAACATGTATGATGCTCTTTCAAACTTCAATTTCATTGAGTTTGTTCATCATCCAACACCATCAAAACACGTGGCCAAACACCTTAGTCAATCTACAGTAATATGATGCTCCATCTTACAACATCCAGTTCATTCAAACACCATCAATTATCTCATCAATTAGTCCATCCAAAAACACACGTAMGGTAGCCAAAAGGTAGAACGTTGGGTCGCACAAAAATTTGATGAGATGTGAATTAATTTAACATGAGTTCTTTTTTCTAATAGGTGGTTCGAGGTAGTAACACATCGACCTCAAGATGAAAGATACCCAATGAAAACTCTCATTGAGAAAATGCCTCAAGCAGCTAAYGCAGTTTTCGATCGATGCATAAAATTCTCCGAACTYCCACSGGAAGATCCCGAATACTTCGTCGAATGTGATTTTCGTCTCCTTGACTCACTAAAAGCCGAAGAAGAAGTACTTGGAAAMAAGTCTCCAAASCACTTCTTTGCTCCAACCACAATGATMMAAAACGAACGAGARRCWTTGCTGAGCCATCCTCTTGTGAAAGCTTTCTTGCGACTGAAATGGAGAAGGATTGGAAGACCTCTTACAAACGTTTCTGTTCTCCTTTACGTCATCTATGTAGCTCTATTTACWGATTTCTTGGTTAGAAGACGCCAAGACAGTGTCATATATAARWCAGATGACRACAGGACAGCTGAAGAAAATAGAAAGATCTTTAAGAAGAGTATGTACAATTTGGACTTCCCTGTATTCATCACAGTTATAATCATTTCCCAAGCTCTCAAAGAGATCTTCCAGATGTGCACTCAAGGATTGAGATAYTTCAAGAGTATGGATAACTACATCGATTGGGCAGGATACGTTTTGGCTGTRGCATTTTTGGTTCCTCAYCTTTTTAGAGGGAATCCCTATGCCAAGTCTGGGGCACTATGGCCACTTGGAGCTTCTGCTGTCCTTGTTATGCACTTCACATTAATTTTATCCATGCGCTGTTTTGGATCTATAGGGATTTACATTTCAATGTTCATTGAGATACTGAAGACGTTGGGTAAAGTTTTGTCAATATTTGCTYTGTTCGTTTTCTCCTTTGCTTTGGTGTTTTTTACACTTCTGAAAGAACAGGCAAGTTCAATGTTATGTTTTTCTATATTCTTGTACTTACGATAATCCCACAGGGCAACTTGTCGAATATCATTAAGTGGAAGGACCATTCCTTTACTAGATTTTGTCCACTTTCCACCAAATATGATAGACCCTTTAGGTTTCTTTTTGCCCCAATCCGAAGTAAGAATCCTATCACTTTATTTTTTTTTACCACAGAAGTCTGTGGATATGCACTGATCGTTTTCAATCATTTCCATGAGCAAACGATAGTAAAAGACCGGCGGCCATGTTGGAGGAATGAACAATAGATACTAATGAGAAATCCTTTGTTGAAGTTCCTCCAATATGGCCGCTGTGACGTATAGTGAAAACGAACAATACGCATATTGACGTTTATGCCATTGTATTTTAAACATAGCCACCCTTTCGAACGCTGGGCTGGTCATTTGTCAAGACAAGCATGATGGTGATTGGAGATATCGACTATGATGGTTTAATAACTGACAATCTACAAACCAGAAACCCCATTACGGATGCTCCATATGTACCAGTTCCTGTATTTACATCTTCCATTTTAATGCTCTTTGGCTTCATCATGGCTGTCCTTTTTATGAACCTTTTGGTAAGTAACAGAAAACTTTTTCCAAACGTTTTCCAATTCGAGTAGCTCGTGTGTATCTCC